ATGGAGTATACATGGAGTGTACATACTATATTCCAATCTATGTAGACTTAGAAGCATATGATGGAGTATACATGGAGTATACATGGAGTATATGTAGATTTTAAGGAGTATACATGGACTCTACATATACCCATGGGGGAGTGTCACTTACAGTCAGATATGTAAATGTGAGTTGCTAAATTTCTACTACTCAGATAATGTAAAGCTGAGTAGCTCAATTTCTGCTACTCAGGTAATATAAATGTGAGTTGCTAAATTTCTGCTACTCTGATAATTTAAAGCTGAGCAGCTCAATTTCTGCTACTGAAATAATGTAAATGTGAGTAGCCAAATACCTGCTACTCAAATATAATCATGCCCAGTAGCTAAATACCTGCTACTCAGATACTACATTACTGCTTGTATGTATGTCCTCAATGTGAAGGAGGTTTTACAGTAAATGCAAAGGTCATTTACCTCAAATGTACATGGACCTCTTAGTGGTAATGCAAAGGACTATTTGGCAGTAATGTACAAGGCACTTAAGGCAATTTCAAAGTTGAAGCTATCTGGGATATGTGCCCCCCAAATTGCGCCAACGTTATCTAAAGGTTTACGCAAGAAGCGGACCATTTTATATATCTAAGTAGGCAATCAAGAACCCTCCGCATAATACCCACGCAGGACAGATACCGCATAGATTTAGGGTTGGAATACATCCGTAATGATGTGTTGTAGATATCGAAGGGTTCCTCAATTGCAGCAAGGATTTTGAGCAAATATTCACCTGGTATTTGGTGACTAGATGACCTAGCAAGGAGAATCAGTAAATTTATTTTAGCTTTCACGCTAGAAGTTCACGTATAAGTTTATAGCTCATTCTCAAGTCTAGGCGATAACGTCTTACTTACCACAGATTCTCTTCCTTATGTATATTCGTGCCATATCTGAAATCATACTCGCCAGTGTCAAATGCCGCAGCTTAGCTGACATTTGAATTTGATCACCTGGTTTGAAAAACCAAGCGTCCAACACAAAACTTCGACTTCAATACCTGACTTCGATTACAGGGAATCGAACCCTGAGCTGCCGCGTTTACGATGAAGATTGAGAGGCGGCAATGTTAGCCATTATACCATAATCGATTGATGAATATGCTGCGTGAATGCCAGTCAGCTCAAATTTGGCGCCAAGAGAGTTGACCAGTTGCCCGATATACTGTGGATATCCGAGGGTTCCTCAATTACAGCAAAGCAAATATCCCCCCGGCCATTGATGACTAGATGACCTAGCAGGAAGAATCAGATTTTTATTTTTATTTTTATTTATTTTTTACGCTAGAACTCGCGCTGGAGTCTAGGTGGTGACGTCTTACCACAGATCCTCTTTATTATGTATATTCGTACCATATCTGAAATCATACTCAAATGCTCCAGCTTAGCTGACATTTAAGTTTGACCACCTGGATCGGAAAATTAAGGCCCCAGCACAAAAGGCTTTCTCTGGACTGTTACTTCGATTACAGGGAGTCGAACCCTGAGATGCCGCGTTTACGATAAAGAATGAGAATGAGAGGCGGTAATGTTAGCCATTACACCATAATCGAATGACGAATACACTAGACGAATGCCAGCCAGCTCAAGTTTGACCATCCAAGCGACTTGACCAATTGCCAGGGTAGCTTTGTCATGGGTATGCAGAGAGAGGATTCAGAAATAACGTATTGATAACTATATTATACAGCCCCTAAGCTTGTAAGAAGCACTTTAAACCATTGCGCATGAAAAGACGAAGAATCTGCTCACCCTACGCTCCTGCTCCCCCAGGCCCCTCCTCGCCCATTCCAAAACCATCCTCATCAAGCTTCATCCCCAGTGAAAGCAGTGCCGGCTGCGCACGCATCCAGAATTCACGCCATTGCTCAATGCTTTTCACAGCTGCATCACCATCTTCGCTCCCAGTCGCAGCGTCCTCCTGAGCAGGCTCAGTCTGCTTGATATTCGCGTTGTCCTCTGCCTCCTCCGTCTTGGTCTGTTCCGCCTTCTTCTCCCCGCCCATCTCCTTCGCAATCTCTGCAGCCCGCTTCGCAGTTTGTGCGTCGCTTACACCGGTCAGCGCTGCAAGGTCGCCGAGGTACTCGTCGCGTAGAGGCTCCAGAGCCCCTGCTATGGCAAACAATTCGGGGTACTGAGTACGTAGAGGTGATAGAGGAGATGGTGGAATTGAGGATATGTCCCGCACTACTGCATCGACAAGTGTTGCGACTGATCTTCTTGCGCGGGCAATCTCGGAGTAAGGTGGAGACGGGAACGAGGAAAATGCCTGCCATTAAAACGTATTAGATACTAATAAGAACGTAGCGGAATAGGTTACGTACCGATAGGAACTGCTCTGCACCATCATCCTGTTGTGGTCTTGAAAGATACAGCACAATCTGGAGGATAAGTGTGTACGAACGACGCAGGCGATCAGCGGGGTCGGTTGGAACGTGGGCAAGCCACGGTGCCGAGGCCGTTGTTTCGAGCACTTGCAGCCATGCAACCGGGGGGATTTCAGACGTTGAATCAGAGGGCTTTTCAGATGCGTTCGAGGCAGAGCTCGAAGGGTCTTGTGGTGGTGGCTGAGTGCTGTACTTTCGACAGACCAGTGGTTTTTGAAGAGACTTCGAGAGCAGCAATGTCTAGACATCGATTCAAAGCTGATACGGAATCAAGAGATGAAGTATAGTCTACCTGACGGTTAGCCGCGCAAACGATTCTCTCCGTCGATGCGAGCTTCACCACGCGATGCACTGCCCTGGTTGTGCTCGGTATTCTGGCTGCTTTTGAGAGATTTTGCCCGAGTTTCAACATTTCGAGGTGTAATCGGTGCTCAATAGGCTGAGGATGTCGTCGTGAATGTTCAACGAGGTTCTCTTCTCGGCGAGGTTGGTAACATCAACGAGCACGCCGCGACGCGTTCAGGTACAAACAAGAACAAATTTCATGGACGCGTTGACGCTTGCTCAACTCACGCCCATTACGTTGTAAATGAAGAAAGATGAACTATGTCGTATTTCTGACTTGATATTCCTTATCAATATTCTCCATAAACACCCTAACATGCTTATTTCTTTACGACCTATAAGGTACTAGGACCGTAACATTGTTATACAGTGCTTTCGGATCCCACCGTCGACGTCCGTTCTGGTGCTGGTGGCCGATAGCGTTCATACCGGCTATGCTGACGGATACGTTTACCATAGTACCAGAAAATTCAAGGACTAGGACCATTGTAGTCAGGAATGTCTATCACAGTTAAAGGAGCAGATAATTCACGCTGGACATCCAATAGTGATACCCACTATAGCTAGTATAGTATCGCCTTTGCCAAAGCCGAGTTTCTTGTACATGATAGGCGCGAGTAGGGGAAATCCGAAACCGGCGAGAGCACGAAGACAGTTGACTGCTGCCAATGCTATAAGAGAGAATGAGATTGAGCTACCATGTACCGCTATGAAGCAATAGGGTTTATGGCATAACTTGCCGGAGGCACTGTACAATACGAACGCATCAACGATGTACATCTGAATAGATTGAGAACTGAGCACAATTCCTGCTCCGACCAGCGCTATGCCCTATCAGGCGGTGGGTTTCAAACTAGCTACCTGGTAGAAGACAAAATCGCGAAGACGCACAATATCAATTCCAATCTAGTGTACTTTGAAATGTGCGGTCCAGCCTGCGATGAGAAGACCGCAGGGCAGCAATATTGTGGCTGGTACCACCGGTGCTAGGCAAGATGTCGTCAATCCATCTGCCACATTTGAACAAGCATGAACAAGACTCACGCAGCCTAAACTCGGGCTGACCTGGTCCACTATTTTTGTTTTTTAAGTAAAAATATATCTTGTCCATAAGCTGGGCGTTTATTTGAGAAGTGCAAGTTAGTCCGATCCCGAGTGCGATATAGTTCAATCCCGCGATCCCGGTATGCTCGTGATAGACGTCCTTGAAGATAGAAGGGATTGTGGTTAAGAATACTAAATAACTGTTAGCAGATGGTGAGCGATTTGAGTAAGAGTACAATGCACAATACATAAGCCCATATACGAAAGCCATGTACAGGCCTAACAGTTGAATGATAGGTTCAACCGCGAACATCAAGAATGGTCGATATAGAGCTGTTTTCATGACAGTCTTCCAGCTAGAGGTAAACAGAGTCAGAAAGAAGGTATCCAAAGGATTGATACGAGAGCTAACGATCGATCCCTCTGATATATTGTGACAACTCTTTTATATGGGCCGTTTTTAAGATCCATCTGCTTGACCATCTTTTCTGCCTTGTGCTTTAGCAGAACCGGGGCAAATGCTACTCACGCATCAGGACTGAGGAGATCAACAAGTACAGGACTTATATTCACGAAGAAAAACCAGACCGAAAAGCTGAATAGCCACGTCCAGAATGGAGGAAGACCAGAACTGGTGGTAAAACGATTTACGACATGGAAGCAGGATAGCTGAACGAATGACACCTACCACCCAACGCCAACTGCTCTCCTGTGGAATCCTGGCTTAGACATCGTGTTATAATCGAAAGATGTGCAAAATGTATAGGCAAACCATGATCCCGCAACAGGCCTACAACCTAGAAGTTGCGTATTAGACTATCATATCAGCCTGTTATGGCAATACAACTCACAGGTCCCAGTAATGGTGCTAGAGAGTATATCGCAATTGCCTCACCACGCTGTTCTCGATTGTAGATATCTTGTATAACTCCTCTACCAATCTAGTAATGCGAGAAGCTAGTCGGTGGGGAATGTCGCCTTAGAAAGGACCTGACCCACGGATAAAGGTGCACTCCCTCCCAATCCAGACATGAAGCGGAAAGCGATGAGTTGCTTCTCGTTCTGAGTGAAGGCACAGCCAATGTTCCATGCTGAACGGGTGCGTCAGAAGGGGAAATGAGACAGTTATGAACGCAGATGGCCGCACCGAGAAAGAACAAATTGGACAGTTGCAATACTCGAGCACGACCCTAGATCTCGCTGAAAGAACCAAAGAACTGCGCACAAATGTCATCATATCCTGAACATCAAGGCGATCCGAACACCTACGAAAGGACCAATCGCTGTATCCTCGTCAGCAAACATTCTGGCACGATCGGGAACAGTAGACTTACCGAATCCTAAGACGAAGACAGATGTGATCATCGCCAACATCACGCTATTGTGGATGTTAAACTCGCGTGAGAGCTGATCATTCGCCGGGGCAATCATCGCAGAGGATAACGGGCTAATGAACGTAAACGACGACATAGCCAAGGTAGCTGCCCATTTCTTGCATTTCTTCCAGCTACACGGGCGTAAATGAATAGGCCCAAACACACCAGAACGAGTAACTCACTTGCGCGGATTAGTTGGATCGTCGGGACCATCCCAATCTACCACAAGTACACCAGGCGGAAACCCATGGTTATTCGTGCTTTTCTTCTCCTCCTCGGTCGGATCTTCTGGGTATTCTTGAGGCTGGGGCGGTTTCCCGTCGTCGTGATAATGTGGCAGCGATAGATGAGATATTGTGCGTGATAGAGCTGATACCTCCAGTGAGGATAGTGACGACCGGGACTGTCTCTGTGAGATTGAATGCAGGGATTGCGGGGTGGTGTGAAAGGCATCGAGCGATGGGCAGCGGAAGCTCGTACTTCGTCAATTTTTGGCCATAGTCACGCTTGAGGAACGCCTTTCACGGACCATGGTGTGGTAGAGTCCGGGTGCACATGCGAACGGGCCAGGGCGAATGGCTGTGGAAGGGCACGGAACCTTTGTCAGTTGAATTGAGTTCGGTGATGATTTCCGCGATCGAGGTCGGTGTTGAAGTCATACCCATTACATTGTAAATTGTGTGATTACTATTGTTACACAGTAGATATAGTACATCTTATGGACCTCAACTTTAGCATCGAACGTTTCATAAGTATTTCATGACTAATGCTGTTAAGAATCAAGAATCTCACCTGCCACATCTCATTTAACCATCAAGCCAGTACGTGCGCCCATTCCCACTCCTTCGGGTGCATCCAATAGATTCGCTGCAACACCTGCACTCTGTTGTATACGCCTGTGCTTCTCAAACAGCAGGTCTGAATCTCGTTTGATCGACTCCATAAGTTCTTTTTCAGATGGAACATGTACAGCTGGAACGTCCACATCCATTCCAACGCCGACCTGAGATGCGGCTGATGATGATGATGAGGTTAGCAAAGGCAGCGCCCCCACACCACTCGCTCTCATTTTTTCGGCGATCACTGCGAGTTCTGCTTCGAGGGTCTGAACAACTAGGAAAGCCGCGTTATTCGGTGTATATCCCTCATCGATACAAAGTCTAGCACTTACACCCAGCTTGTTTTGGACTTGCCCCGACATGGTATGCGTTCTGGCTACACATAACTCGTTGGCTGCGACTCGACCATACCTTGACTGAACACTTACACTCACATTGCCGTTAGCAAGGTCCTTGCTGTATTTTGTAGTTGTAATACATGATCTTGGATGTCTTGAATGTTCTGTTTGAACGCTTCCAGAGAATCGGGGTCAGGGCGAGGCTGGAGACTATTGTTGGGATG